TAAAATTTTAAAATTCAGTAACATATAATAAAATCATTATAAAGTTATGCAATATTTATAAATATACAGTATAAACAAATTAATTATAATATAAATACTTTAATTAAAAATTAGTTTAAATAGTTAATTTTATTAATTACCATTTAATTATGATATATAATAATAATTGTTATTTTTTAAAAACAGTCAAACCGTATAATATAATTACTTTTATATAATAGTAATGATATAAAATAGCAAACAATGGTGTCATCGATGCCATTACCGCTTATACGACGCTTCACTGCAATCGCGTAATGTTTTGTTATAACAAAAAACATAATATTTTCCTTTTTATCGCTTTTTTCTTGTATTTAGTCTAAGATTTCATTAATTTTGTCCGTTATATCTGTTATACATTTCATTCAATTATATTATTCAATAGCTGTTCAATAGTGCACTCAATTTCATTGAAAATAAGATCCAACTCTAGTATTCATTACAATCATCGTATGTCAGATGATAATCGATAATAGGTTTCTATTAAAGTTGTTATTTTCAAAGATATAGTGTATAATCAGCAAATTAATTGAAAAAATGTATAATTTTATGTAAAGTACAATACAGTACTATTACTAATGAAAAAACTTTTTAAAACTTAAAATTGAAAGTTATCCCTTTAAGTAAATCAAAATTGCAAAGTTATAACTAATATTGTGTACTATAATATATACAGTATGTGTACATAATTTAAAAATTATTATATTATAAAATAAAAAATGCTTTATAAATTATATACTAATTTAACAGTTGAAAAATGCTGTCTAGATTTCAATCAGACAAACAAATGGACGGCATTTTAAAATCATAATCTCTTAGCAAATATAAAAATATTATTTTTTAAATGATGATAATTTATACAAACAAATACATAATTTACTTTTATCAAATTACATATAAACAATAAATATTATAAATACAAATTTTCTATTATATGTTCGCTAATTTGTAAATATATTTTTTAAATAGTAAACTAAAGTACATTTGGTTTTTATGATATTTCTATTGAATTATTAATTTTTATCTTTAACTTCAAAATAGTACACAAACTAAGACCTAAATTTACAGTAACTTTAGATACTTACTATGTTTTATTGAGTTTATAATAAATAATAATTTACTGCATATTATACTTAATAAATAGTTAATTATAAATCTTTAAAAAATAAATTAAATATAATAAGTTTGATAAGAAAAATATTGATTAAAAATATAGTTTTGTTATGGGTTTGTAACTAATGAAAGAAAACGTTGTCTTAATTGTGATGATAACGACTAGAGATGGGCAAATAGAAAGTTTCTAATAAATTTCCGTGGGAAAGTTTCTAGAAAATTTTTCAGGAATAAATTTCTATAGAAATTTAACTTTATTGTTATACTATGGGATCCCCATATTTATAGTTATTGTAATAAAGTACTATACATATAATACAGTATACTACACAAATGTTATATATAAAATAATTATAATTATTTAATAATAATTAGTTTTGTAAAATTATATTCATCATTTTATTTTATACTGTATATCATTCTGTAGTTTAATTAATTCAATTTTTACTTTAATTAATAATTAAAATACTAATAATAATATTTACGGTAATGTTTTGTTATATGATAGCAAATATCGAGATAACAAAATTAACGATTAAAATAGGGATTCCATAGCTAGAAATTTCTCTATTATTTTATAAATTTCTCTTTTATTTCAACACTAATTATGACGTTTTTATTTCTTAATTAATTTAATTTTCTGTCAAATGACGAAAAAGTTCATCAGGAAAACTGCAGATATAAACAGTTAATCAATATTTCAATTGTTATTAAATACTACAGTATATGATATGTATGTATGCAGAATTGCGCAAGTTTTTTGGTGTAGGGGGGGGAATACTGGAGGGTGGGGGTAGGTGATTAACTGACAAAAATCTCGAAAAATTTGGGGGTACTGTGGGTGTCGATTATTATTTCATTTTTACGGCATTTTTTCAAAATTTGAAAATCATAAAAGTGAGAAAATTCCTTAAAAATTTCCAGGCTTTACCCCCAATCGCAACTATAGTTTGTATGATATACCAGATAATTATGTAACATAATTTAGGAATTACTATTTAAAAAAGAAAATTAATGGTTTATATGGCTATTAAATAGCAATTTTATGACTAATAATATTTTTAATATCGTATATCAATATATATTTATAATAATTTAGTTTTTGGTCACTTTTTCAGCAAATTGTTTAATTCTGTATTTAACTATCGATTATCAATTGCCTCAGATTAAGACCTTATAATCAATATAAAAATATTTTATTTTTTGATAAATATTATAAATATATAAATATTATAAATATATTGTATGATACAATAATTATTTTTAAAAAATCAATTTCTGGAGTTAATATTTCAATTAAAATCACTTCAATAAAGTAAAACTGAATTATAGTGAAGATTTATAGTGAAATAAGATTCAGTCAAACTTAATGTATTGTTTTATCTCTCGAAATACATACTATTTATATCCAAAAATTAAATAAAAAATAAAATGTCTCCAAATTTAAACATCAACTGAAAGTCCATAATATATTTGCTCTCAACTGTTGGCAAATATATAATATAAAAGTAAAATAGACTTAAGTTATAACAAATATAAAACAATACAATACATTGCAATACAATCTTCTTAAAGATTTTTATTTGCTTTTAAATATTTATTCCTTATTTTTGTCCCAAATTCTCAGCTGTATTTTAAAACCATTTGATATATATATATATATATATATATATATATATATATATATATATATATATATATATAATGCATACAAATATTTTTTAAAACAAAAAATACAAAACCCAAAAATGTTTGTTTAAATCAAAATTATCATAATTCAAGTTTCAATTTATCTATAAAGTGTAAGTTACTACTGTAAGTACAGTTAGTTTATAGATTTATAATTTAGTAATTTAAATTGTCTGTTAAAATTAAATTAATAGAATTTCAAATATTTATGAAATCGAAAATAATTTGAAAATTTATATAAAAATAAATTTAATAATAACTCAAATTTGTATAAATATATTTATTGTATTCACTACCAGATGATTGTAATAAAGTTATAAAATCGATATAATCTGCAAATCCTTTTATTATTCAACTTTTGTGTTACAAATAAAAATAGTTTCATTAGTAAAGTTAACATTTAATGTATTGATTTGTTAATCCTAAACTCATTAGTTATTCAATCATTGAAAAATACACATAATATTATATAAATATTTTCCAACAATCTTTGAATGTTTGTTTTGTGAACCGCTTTTTTATTTTCTAACTTTAGTATATAAAACATCAAAAATTACAGTAAAATAGAATTGTCTAAAAAAGTTATATTTTATTTTTTAAGAGAAATAGACAATAATTTTTATTAATATTTTAAATATTGTTTTTTTGCTTTTTAATAAACTTAATTTATGTAGTATTTATGTGAGTGATTAATAGATGAGTAATTTGATCAGTAGATCAATGAATTGTAAATATATAACTAATTAGGTGTCGACTGATTCTGTAAATTAAGTTTTTAGACACAAAAATTAAATATAATTTAGATTATGCTCTCTAGCATTATCAACAAGTTTTAATTTATTTTTTTGTTATACCGTTAAATGTTGCTTAATTCCCCTTTGGAGATATGTAAGTAATGGTTAATAATGCGAGTTTTTTAACCATATGAAAAAAATTGTGAATTTAAATTTTAATTTGCCCCCCCTCCCTCCCCCTGTTTTTATACATTTTCTAGTTTTACTACCCCTTGTATTTAGACGTCTCTAATCGTTCCAAACTCTTTGAATATGCTATTTATTTACCGATTTATAGTATTTAAAAATACTTTAAACATGTCATTCATTGTAAACACAATTAATTATCGGTAATAGTTAACTACTGTAAATATACCGTTTTAAATAGATTACTGTTAAATATTGGTCATTACAGTTGTTTATTCCCCCCATTTTTTTCTTTCCCCACACCCTCGTTTAATCTACCAGTGTTAGGGTTTAACTTAAAAAGTGTGAATAAATAATAAAAATTTGATGACTTTTATAAACAAATAGATAAAAATGATAAATGTATTCATATATGATGTAAAAATAGATAAAATAAGTCTTTTGAAATTTTGATTGATATTTGTTATTAACAATGATTAATGTGTTTCTAATATCAATATAATTTATAAAAGGCGTGGTTCACATATTACGTTCACACTTGAGGGGGGGGGGTTAGCCAAAGCGAACTTTTGCAAACGAGAGGGAAGGGAGGGGTAAAGACTTTAAGATAATATTTTATTTCATGTGGTGGTGGGGGTAGCGGTTAGGGACATGCGAACGTAATTTTTTTAAATGACTACATGCAAACAATTGCGAACATAGAGGAGGGAAGGGGTCTAGATTTCTTAAAAAGTGCAAAAGTAATATGTGAACAGCCCCAAACATTAATTTACTTTTATAATTCTATATTAATATTTTTATGATTTTAAAATATAATAAATTAAAGATTATTTTTTTAATTTATAATTTTAAGTAATTATAGCAATAATTATCTTATTATAACATTGTAAGTGTTAAAACTTATTTTTGTTAAAAAACTTTTTATTATTAAAATTTAAATTATATTACAAATAAAATATATTAAAATTTTCTAAAACAAGAGACAACAATATTTATACAATGGATTAAAAATTATTATTATTAGTTATATTATATAAATAATAGTTAAATAACAGTATTACTCACATCACAATAATATTGTTTAACAATAGATTAAATATTATACGTAAATAAAAACTCTGTATATACATATACACAGTATATATACATAGATATATTTATATAATTTATTTAATGTATATATCTTTGATAAAATATTGGCCTACAATAAACTCTTGTTATTATAATAATAGTGACAATTAATAATTGTATTTATTATATATTACTATAACTGTATGTCTTTGTTGTCCCAGTTGTTAATGACTAACTCAATATTGGTTGAACCCAGACATCCGTTACCATTGGTTTGTGTGCCGACACTGACTTTACTATTAACAACACCGCCGCCGATAAAATTGTTTACCGGACGAAGTTTATCAGTCATCTCATACTCTGTAATCATAAAATAAAAAACAATTTTATAAAATTACATTTATTTTAAGATTAAGTTTTTTCAACTAAAAATAATATTAAATTATAAAAATTATATTTTTCTTGTTTTATAATATTTGTTATATTAATATTAACTAATAATAATAATAAATAAAACATTAGTAGTAATTTATCAATCATTTAATCATTCAAAACATTAGTAACATAACTCTATTAGTTTTATTAATGAGACTAAATTACAGACAATTTCTTCCAAAAATAAATTATTAACAAATATTTTCTAACTAATAATAAATTTAATATATTGTATCATTTTTATACTTTAATTATTTAATTAATAATAATTTTGGATAACATATAAAAATTATCTTTTTTATTCAATAAAAAAGATAAATAATTAAATAAATTGATAATAATAAAATTTTGTTAGTATAAAATCATTACTATATTGCAATTCTTCAATATACTGTATAGTAAATTTATACCAACAAATTCATATCAATAATTAATATAATAAATACATTTTTAATTAAATTTATTTTACATACATTAACATATAAATTATACTAACATAAAAATTACTTTTATCATAAACAAATAAAATATAACTTATTATATTTTTGTTTGCACAGTGACTTTATAAAATATGACTTTTGAATAATAAGTATTCTAAATTTTTAATATATTCTAGACTTTTTAATATTATATTTTTATAAACTTAAAAATAATTAACGTAATACATTTGTATGAGAATTGTATTATAATTTTGTTAGCTGATATTTGCTAATGTATACTATAATAAGAAATTATATTTTAATCTTTTTAAAACACATTTGTATCATAAATATAGCAATTATGATAATAAAATGTAATAATGCAGAATTATAATAGAATTAGTTATATAATAAATATATTTTAAAATAGTGGCTAAAATTTTATATTTTTCTTTAATCATGACTTTTGAATACTAAATAATAATTAACTATAAAACAAACGGCAGTATATAATGCCATTCTCTATGGTTTGTTATGTTATAAAATTTTACATAATAAATATAAAAATAAAAATAATGTATTTTAGTTTTAAATTTATTGTTTAAACTCATTTATCAATCTGTAAAAAATGAAAGAATAACGTAATTGTATGATATATACTGTAATGTAATGTACTTTATCTTTCTTAAACAAATGATATATAGTTTGTTATATTCAATACGGTTAGTCGTTTACAAATTGTATTCAAAAAAAATCGGATAAAATATATAATGACACAAATATAATGAATTTTGTATCTAATATGTTAGGTATTATGTAAATTTTAAATTTTATTATAATTCAATATTTTATTCATTATTATTTTAATATAAATTTACTACTGTATATTTGATGACATTATCTATTAGATATGCTATGTTATAGAAAATTATATAACGTATTATTATTATTATTATAGATTAAAACCCGAACAAATGTTTTGATATAAAAAATATTTTGTTTATAATATACTTATTCATACCATCAGACTGTGTGGCGGACTCGACCCGTATGGATGAAGTGGTGGCCAAAGTAGCGGTGGCCGTCATCGGTGTGTTATTCTTGAGAGTCCCGTATTTGTTGTACGGCATCATTGATTGCCTGACATTTTTCTCCGGATGAAGAATAATGATATAAATTTTTGGTGTGAAAAGACAGAGCAGTGTTACGGTGGCGCTCAGGGATATCGACACTGACATAGTCGTCAAATTCAGAGCGATGTGATTGCTCTGTGAGCTCGTGAAGTATATGGGAATAAAGGCCAACCATATGATACATGTCGTATACATTGTAAAGCCTATATATTTGGACTCATTGAAGGCTTCCGGGATTTTTCGTGTCAATACCGCATAAACGGTGCAAACAACTGATTAAACATAAGAATATAATTTATGTCATAATTAGTTTATATTAATTATAATACATAAATTAATATCATATATTTTATATTGTATTTACATTAAATAAATTTACTAAATTCAAAATATAGATATATATATATAAGTATTAAACTATTTAATAATAAGATAATATTTTAATAATCAAAATAAAAAGAAACAAAGTTTTCAACTTAATAATAAATCAATAATTATATACATTTATAATATATTAAAAATAAAAAATAGCAAAAGGAGAATAACGTTAATCTTTTATAAGACAATTATGATACACTATATAATATTTTTATGGCATAAATTTATTTGATATACACAAAAAACATAGATTACTATATAATGTAAAAATAAAATCAATATTTTTTTATATTATAACAAATGGTTAAAATGTGACCAAAACTAGAATTATTTGTATCTCTATTTCTATTCTTTTAGTTATAACTTATGTAATACTTGTCTCTTCATTGTAGACCTTAAGGCTGTTTTAGTCTATCCTATGTTTTCTAGGATTCAGTAAAGTTAACTAAAATCATTGTGAAGTAGTGTTATATTAAGTACTGTATTAAAGTAATACTAAAGTAAATGTACTTTAATTTAATGACTAATACAGAAAATTGTATACAATTGTAGATAAGCGACAATAAGTAATAGTAAGGAAAGTCATACCAATAAGAAATATGGGATAAAGAAATGCGACAAAATATCCGGCATTTATGGAGGCTTCACAAACCAATTGGTTATCCTCTCGTGTTGGGTAAAAATGTATAGCTCTGGGAGGTGAAAATGCCAACCATATGACTACTATAAAAATCTGTATTATTGAAAGTCCGCCACAAATTAAAAGTTGAGATTTTGGACTAATAAGTCCTGGTCTTCGTGCAGATTGTTTGCCAGCTTTGAAGATACGGGAGATTCGGTTTGTTTTGGTTAGGATAGCGCTGTAGACAACAGAAAAACAAAAGCCAATACCGGCCTTCTGTGTGCCGCACAAGAAGTTGGAGGGCTTTTGCACCAAAAGAAATGTCATACCATAACACATGAGAATACCCGCCAACAGTACAAAACAGAGCTCACGTCCCGACGCTCGGACTACAGGAGTGTCGTTGTATTTGATAAATACAAATATCACAAATAATGTGAGAAAAATGCCGGTCCATGAAAATAGTAAGGCACTGATTGACCACATGCTATCCGGTCGCATATATTCTTCAGGTATGGGCTCACAAGTTATTTTGTCGGCATCGGGTAAATAACCATCCGGACAGTCAATACACTGAGTGTCCGATATAAGCACTTGATATTTGGTACAATTGAGGCAATGAAAGCAACATTTTTCTCCCTCAATGTGCGCCTTCACCTGACCCTTCTCACAGGGCTGACTGCACACAGATGAGGGCACCGATAGATCATTCAAATGAAATTGAATTTCACTTAAATTGAGGGCAAGTGTGCCGTCGTTATACTCTCCCACTTGAATCCATCCAAACTCTCCCTCCGATAATTGTTTGTAATGAATTATCCGATACCGGGCCGGACCGTCACCATTGTCCGCAAAATTGAACGCATAATTTGCTAAACCTATAATTATAATATTTTTTATTTTGTTAATATTATATTCAATATATTATATTAAATATATATATAAATATTTAATACTATTGGAAATTTATAATATTACACGAAATAAATAATATATAAATACAATAATTTATTAACTATTTAAATTATTTTGATATCTAAATATTATTATTCATAAAATATTTAATTTTTTTAATGCTTGTTCATAGATGTCGAAAAAACGTATCATTAATTTTAAGATAATATATTAAATATAAGTACGATATACTGTATATATACTCTATACTTCAATACTATAATTTATATATTGCAATGTAGTGTACAATTTATATCCTGTACTAACAGTATATAAATACTGCAAAAACATAGCCAACAGATATTTCAATCGTTTTAATACATAAATGGATTTCTTTGCCTCAAAACCATTATTTCAAAACCAGAGGTATTCATATAAAATGGTAGTAAATGAAGAAAATGTTTTCTATTATTTAAGATAAATATGTTTTTGCAAGACTTGTGTATCATTTTTTTGTTTCACTTTAATAATAATCTAAAAATATTGGTTTTTTCTGTTTATCGTATTTTGATCCGACTCTTCAATAAATAAAATCAAATAATGATTAAAAGTAAAAATAAAAGGACTTAATATTGACGGCAAAACTAAATTAATGATTGACTTCTGATTAATTGTATTTGATTGCTAGTGACGGCTATAGGAAGTTATATATGATATTATATTATTAAAAATTTTTATTCCTTCCCACAAAATAAATTCACTCCATTCCTAAATTGTATAAAAATATATAATTTTACTTAATAAACAAACAAAATATTTATCATTTTATAATAATTATAATAATTAAAATATGATATAAAATTATGAAAGTGAAATTCTTATAAAATTTTTATATAGATTTAGAAAAAATTATTTTATAAATTATTTAAAAATTATATCTACAGTATATCTTTGAAATTATATCTGTTTTATTATTCACTATTAAATTAAATGATATGATGTTTGAAATTAGCCTCAAGTCGTATTTTTATGACATTTTTCCAAATATTTAATTATTTAACAATTTTTGTAATGTTTATAAAAATCGTTATATTATAGTATTAATATGTACAGTATATACTGTAAGAAATAGTTTTTATGTCAATATATGTGTTTATTAAAATATATTTTGACATTAAGATCATATTATATGTTTCAATAGACATCTATTTTCTATTCTGCAACAAATATGTCAATCACATGTTTTGGTGTCTCTAATAATTAAAAATTGTAATATTTATCTTTAAAATCAATTTTTATAATTTATAAATTATAAAATTTAAACGTCTTTTATTGATAAATATAGATTTATTCAATAAGATAATTAATTGGATATTATATTATATAAATAAATTTATATTAATATATTATTAAATGCATCAAAATTACAGTAATTTACATTTTTGTACTAATTCAGGATAGATTTAGATGAACTTAATATTAACTTATAATAATAAACATTATATTGTTATATCAAAGTTTTTGGTGTATTTCTTTGTTTAGTTGAAAAATTAAAGGATAATTGTTTAGGAAATTTCTTCCCTTCAAATCTCTATATTTTTTTATAGATATATCCATATTATAGTATAGACCCAGAATATAATTGATAGTATGTTTATAATATCTTTATATATATACCGCAATATGTAATACTTTAATTTATTAAACACACATAACTACTGGTATAACTTATAAGTGAAGCAATAAAAATTTGATTTATTGATTCATTTATTTGTATTTCGCAATAAACAATTAAATTGACGGTCAAATCAAAACAATGAAATTATTATATATTGAATATATAGTGTATATTTAGATGAAATTGTATAAAATTATGCCATACCTTTAAAGTGGACATTCTTAATAAAATGTAGAAGCACACTACCATCGCTATCTCTCATTTTAGGACAGACCCCTCGATAACCGGATGGACACAACTCTTGATGCATGTCTTTGAGAGCGTAGGCAAATGCGAGGACAGCGTCGCTGACAAATTGCAACTGACCTTCGGGTTCGTACCCGTTATCATAACTCATCCTTTCATCTCCGGTACAAATCCTATATATTAAACATTAAGATAATGAATATGAAGTGAAATATTATGTTATATTTCCTAATATTATATATATATTATTAATATCTGTCTTTAGAAATAGATAGTCATCTAAATGTATGGCTAATGACAGCTGTGATCAAATGAAAATAATATTACTTCTTATAGTTCAAGTTGTATGGCGTAACAGTACTGTCAGTCCATTTGCAATTGAAATAGTGTTCCCAATACTCAATAAACCACGGGTTTCGCCAATTAGTTTTCGGTGTCAAACTCAAGAAATACTCATCAAATCCTGGCACTGGATTGGCTGAGGGCTGGACTGATAGGGTTCCCTCCACCTGAAGCTCATTTCCGGCAAATACTAACGAACGGGCGCTCCAACCATCGCTACCAATCCATGTGAACAGTCCGGTGGCGTTATTCCTCTTGATTGCCTTCATAAGCATCGCTACCTCTTGATCTGATCCAAACACTATTACACCTAATTTCATGAACAAATATTTCATTACTTTCACTAATCAGTCAAATATATTATAATCAATATTTTTGTATTTTGCAAATACACATTTAACAAAATTAAAATGTTTAATATAAAAATCACTGCAAATATAATAAATTTACAAAATTTTATAATAATAATACTTATATTAATATAATATTAATATTATTTAAATTATTTATATTATGTAAACAATTCTTACTTTTTAAACAAATATATTAAAAACTTAAAATATGTAACGAATGTATATAAAAAATCTAAATATAAGACGAAAACCCAAATATTGATATTTTAAAAAACATTTTTAACTTTTAATAAGAGAAAAACAGAAAGTCATATGATTACAATTATGATTTATTTTTAGCTTTTATAATAAACCATTATTTTCTTAAGTGAACACAATTTATCTGATATTATAGTAAATTTATGTTAGTATTGAAAGTCAGAATTAAATTGGATTCCTATATATATATTGTAACCATTATTGTATATACAGGTATTGTATATAATAACTTAGAAATTACATCATTTGATATGTGATATATCATTGTTATCGTAATACTATATTTGATAATGATCATTTTACTAATAACCAGCTTTATCAAATTTTATTAACTAATAGAAATCATTCAATTATTTATAAATACTAAAAACTAACTATAATGAATTTTAATTTATTTTACATAAATATACTGAATTCTTGAAATTAATTACTTATTGTAAAAAAATAAAACAAAATAATTAATATTATAATTAAGAAATATTATGTATAATTATTGATAATTTTTTATAGTTTGTTTTAAATTATATATTTTTTATAATAATGAACTTATAACCTTTGATAATGTCTATAATTAATGATAAAATTGTTAAAGATTTTTTATAGTAAATTTTCATTGATCTCACAAAAAAATGAACCCATTAAACACATTAGCAAATTGTGTTCAAATAATTTAATACTATATAAAAAAAGTTTTTCTATTTTTAATGTAACTCTAAATTACATAATCTTTTTGCAATCAATAAATTATTAAAAGAGTTGTTAAAACATATATTCAAACAAAATTTTCAAAATTTATATAAACATACAGCAATGCATAATACATACAATTTTTAGATTTAAATAAATATTAAAAATTAATATATATTTATAATTTTGACATACAGTTATACATAATATACAGTATAGAAAGTATAAAAAGTATAAAAAGTATAAAAAGTATAAAAAGTATAAAAAGTATAAAAAATAGAGTAAATATAATTATTTGAATAGATATATAACTAATACCTCTAGCATTTTGTTTGGATATCAGTTTTTTGACGATATTATCGTAAGCGTCGTCCAGAGCTACTCCAGAGTCTTTAGTTAGCCTTTCCTTAATAGCGATACAAATGTTGTTTTGCTCCAAAAGTTCCTCCAAATCATTAAAAGCCTTTAAAATTGTGACATTTATTGCAAAATATTGAATTAATTTATTTATTATTGTATAACATGTATAATACTATAAAACTAAGTTTAATTTTTTTTATGTTATATTTATCATATAAGTCATAATATAAGTTTGTAATTATTAAAATTACTGAAAACATTAAGTAATTAATTATAACAAACAATAAATTTATCGCTTCATTTAAATGACTTTAAATAAATAAAAACTAAAGATTAGAAATCTATATTTAATGGGAGAAACCTAAAAATATTGCTAAATATTGCTACAAAAATTATTTATTTATAGGTAACATTATATACCGTATATATACATAAATATATATATATATTGAATTATACATGTTTGGTGTAGCGATACTTTAAACAGATATTGATACTTAAATTTGACTATAAGTTTATTTAATATAAGTCTAGTTAAGGATAGCCCATAACATTATTGAGTAGTAAATTGTCTTAATGTGCTTATGTATGTATGTTTTACTAACACTGATTATACTATTATAGATAAGTGTGATATACAAGTGTAAAGTAATGAGTATTTTTTGTACGTGTATTATAATAATCAATTGAATAATACAGACTCTGATGCCATAAATGGATTCTTCATAAATGATGGAAACGTAAGTCCAGTTGAGTTGTTTGACGATCTCAATCATAGCACTCGCCTGACTCTTATCGCTCGGAACCGTACGGAGAAAGTATTCAAACCTCTGTTTGTTACTCAACTCACTACTCGTCGAGAAGAAAGATACCTAAATAAGTGTAATACAGACAGCACTGGGAGTTAGTCGATGACCTATTGTGTGTACATTATATACATTTTTAGATAACACAAAGTTTTTGACACATAAATCAATTTTACGCTCATTTATGAGAAAACTTAGACACTATACTATAATATACAGTATATATAAATATTGTGTTTATTTATAATAACTAATCTCATGGTTTCGCCCTATGAATCCAAGTGACTGATGGGCACATCCTTACTAATAACCAAATTATTGTTCCCCAAGAGTTAGCATTCATTTGCAATGACCAATAAATTTTTGTAAACATAGCTAAAAATGTTTGTAAAAATTCAATAAATGTTATTAACTAACGATGAAAACAGACAATAAATATGAAGATAAATGAGAGCAGACTTTGAGATCAAATGACTATTCGTTACAATACATACTCTTTTGATCTCAACATTTGGTATCACATTTAGGGTAAAGTCTCAAAACAGCATCAAAACAACTATACTTTGATTGTAATTTTGTTAATACAGTATGTTCACCACTTATGTTACATAAGTTATGTATATTAAATTTTAAAATAACTATTGGTAATATTGTAAATTACTTTAGTTTGGTATATAATTGTTACATAATTAATATTTTTCATATTATTAACAGTAAATGTCAATTATATGCCAAATACTACAATATTATTTATTTTTATATCTTTTAAATTTGTTTAATTGATAAAACGTGAATTCAATATACGGTTTATGAGTTAATTGTAATGAAAGCATCGCTGCTATGCATATTCAATGTCGTTATTTAAGACTCTGCCAACATTTGCCAACAAATAATTGATTTCTTGTGTTTCACTTTTATTTTATTATTTTTGTTTTACTGACACTATTTTAGTATTCAATATTAAGACAACAATTTTTCTTTCAGTTTATGCTATATATATATTGTATGTATTGTATTAATATATAACACTTATATTTACTTAGATTTGAAACATATACAGTATAATGTAATATATAAATAACTTTATAATAATAAAAAGATTGTTTGTAAATAACTTAATTAAATATTTAACTATCTTAATAATTAAGTGAAATATTTACTTTTGGATTTTAATAAAAATCCAATAGAAGTTGTTTAATACATGTATAAATTATTTAATGTATAATAAAAAAAATTTATCAAATAATTGGTTTATATAGTCTTTTTAAAATTGTCATAATTTTTTTAAAATATCTACAGGAATTAGCAAATAAAAGATTCCTAAGAGACATACAAATTATTAAATATAAAAATAAATTTTATGATAAATTTACACCTCATTCATGACATCAAAGTTGCCGTTGAATTGTTGTATTTATTGTTATTATTTAATATTATTTATAGTTAGAAACTCAATGCATAAGTTATAGTTTATGTGTAACCAATAGATTTGTTACATTTAATAAATAGATGCTATAAATAGTAGATTTATTTTTATGAAGTCTCAGATCTTCATACTGTATATATCATACGGTTTGGTAGCAAATGATATACTGTTTTGAGATTTGCAAAACAATTCATTGCTAGACTTGTAGTGCCATTAATGTGAAAACTACTCAAAAGATTTAGTGCCTTATATTGTGAAATGTTTGAACACAAATAAAAAAATTTCTATATATTTATGAATTGAGCTTAAAATGAGTGGTTTAATATTAATGCAAAATCATATAATTATATGTTGGGATTTATATTTAAATTGTTACACATTATTATATTTAATATGTTAAAGGTGTCTATGATTTAAACAGTAGTTGAAAATTTTGATTTAACAATATCATTATATTTAATCTTTCTGTACATTAAATTTTATTATACTGTATATTGTACTGTATATATAAATAGTATACACAAAAAATATTATAATTAATTATTATGAAATATTGGCATTTACTCTTTATAAGTAAAAATCAACAAAACATATAAAACAAATAAGGCGTGGTTCACATATTACGTTCGCACATTTTAAGAAATCTAGACCCCCTCCCTCCCCTATGTTCGCAATTGTTTGCCTGTAATCATTTAAAAAATTACGTTCGCATGTCCCTAACCGCTACCCCCACCCCTCACCCACAAGAAATAAAATATCTAAATTCGAACGTTGTTAGAGTCTCTACCCCTCCCCCTCGTTCGCAAAAGTTTGCTTTGGCTAACCCACCCCTCCCCTCAAGTGCGAACGTAATATGTGAAACACGCCTAAGTTATATATAAAAATAAATAACCATAAAATTATGTCCACTATTTTAAATTAATAATTGGTTGGATAGACATTAGTGCCGCAATCATTACTTACACTTAATTGACCCAAAACTGTGATTTTGTTTTGTGCATTATTACACTAAATAAATAAATAACACTTTCTTAAATAATAAAATAATTTTATTTATCTTTACATTTTAAGTAAATAATCAATAAAGTCGTTGATTAGACCACAATAACAATTTTTATATCATATTTAATATAATAATCGATTGATATAATAATTTACGTTTACATAATTGATATCATTGGGGTATCATTATAACTAGAAATATACTATTGATTTAATATTGAGGTCAAGCATTATTTTATTATATGACTAATTGTAATAAATGTATAAATTATAAGTTAATAAATTATATCATATATAAAAAATCTATTTTGAGCACCGCTTGATTACTCAAATAATAAAAATATTATAGATTTAACTTTGATTTTATATTTATTAAATTATATTACATTTGTTACAAGAATAATAATATTTATTTTCAATTTTATGAGATTATAGGTAAATTTTTTATAATTTAAAAAACCAATATTAAAATCTTATCAATTTTTATAGTTGTGAATTTTCAATGGGCATGTAATACATTTCAATATAAGAGTATATATTTTTATTGCATACTTTATTCAACTTAGCATAAGTTTATGTGCAAACATAACATTTGAGAAATAAAGGATTTATTAAAAGCAATAGTGAAATACATTATTTGATTTTTGTTGTTGTTTTCAAATATATCAATAAATCTTTATTTTTATTCACTTTAAAATTTAGTTGTTTTGTAAGTCAATTGTTTCTATTGAACTATAAAATCCTTAGCCAACTGTCGACTCGTATTTAATAAGACATCAATTTTACTTAGAGTTTAAAAACCAAAATTTAGATTCATTTTGATTGTAACCATATTATAGTTTCAATCAGTCAATTAGTCTATTATTATGGTGTGTTTGGTAACACTATTTTATCAGATACTGATATTTGTGATGTTTGTGAAAGTTAATGACATACCATATTAAAGTAAACCATATTATATTATAGTATATAATGTAATGTAACTTTTCGTTCACAACAATTCAATACATTTAATACATTTATAGTTATTTCTTCTAAACTGTGGGTCAATACATAAAGATTTTGTTGACCCCTATGTTTGAAACTAAATATTGTTAGCCTTACCCTAAATCTATTGTTATTAAAATATAATTTTATTTAAAAAAAAATACTATTTATATACAGTATGACAATAGTTAAATATATTAAAATATAAACATTAAATATAGAAATTACTGTACACACAAATATATTGTATAGACATAGTATATATTAGTTATAAAAATTGTACTGTATAATAAAAGCAGTACTGTATTAAACAAAGTCAAAATTCAAAACCTTGTATTTTTCCAACTCTGGTAACTACAGTAATATATAAACTATTATAAAAATGTTGTTAATTTAATTATCTATTTATTAAATCTCTAAATAAGAAGTGTTTAGTCTCTTTATTAATAAATAATTTATTAAATATTACAGTAAATGAATTAACTACTAATTTATTATTATTAAAAATTTATTTATAATAAAATAATATTATATTTTATTGAATTTATATACCTTTATTATATTATATATTCATAAAATACTGTACAATTAAGATTATTTACATTTTAACAAATTTGTTTGTTTTAACACTAGTTTATTATAAAATAAAGTTCTATAATCAAAAAATATTTATCAATAGATGTTTTACATTAATTATTAATATTTAAATGATAGAAATTTACTTTTAGTAAAGATAATTTTCAAATCAAATAATTAATTTATCTTAATTATTGTATTGGATTATTAAAAAATTAATAATATACGTCTATATAATAATTGCCAGTTTGGTGACGACAAACAAACATAGATTTGTGTTTAAATCACACATTTGTTAGAATAATATTAAATATTAATATTCTAATAATTTAATGATTTGAATATCTAAATATACTATTTTAAATTCAAGTAATATTATCTAAAATATATAATTAAATAAATTATGACCTAAATAACAGTACATATGGATATAATAAAAGTAATATACAGTAAATATCTATCATAAATGATACTTAAATGAAAATTTTTTAATAGAAAAACAGTAAATAACAAACTGTTTGATTTGTATTTTGATTAATGTATGTCTACTTCAGTAAATAAGACGTGTTTTGTGTTTATCATACAAAACGTGATGCCTTTGAAACTCAAGTCTTTTATCTAAAATGTCTTTCTATATAATTGTTGGCACTTTTTGTTTCACTAAAATAAAGTATTTATTTTCAATATATAATGATTTATTGCTATGATATGTGTTTCTAATAAATATCACTAAATTATTAAATAAAATAATTATTTTTTAAAACAAATTATATCTAATAATTATTACTATTGAAAATATTTCAAATAAATAAATTTTTATATTTTATTTTACTTATTCAATCGAAGATTTGAAAATAAAATGTTTTCAATCTTATATACAAGAGTATATAAAGCACACAATATACATATTTTATTAAATGATATTATCTGTTGAATAAATGTTGTAAATTATATACAAAATTATAACTAAACCCAAGACTATTGTCTTAGCATTGTATGAATTGCAACAAATAATAAATTTTCGGCAATTTTATATACAGTATAAAGTTTATACTATAAACATCTATTTTACTAT